TGTTGCTGCTGTTAGTGTTGTTGTTGCTGCTGTCGTTGCTGTTGCAGTTGTTGTTGGTGATGTTGTTGTTATTGTTGTTGCTATAATTAATCTAATTGTTGTTGTGGTTGTTGTCTTTGTAGTTGGTGTTGCTGCTGTTGTTGCTGTTGTTGTTGTTGTTGTTGTTGTTCTTGTCGTTGTTGTGGTTGTTCTTGTTTTTGTTATTGTGGGGGCTGCTGCTGCTGTTGCTGTTGCTGTTGCTGTTGTTGTTGTCGTTGCTGTTTTTTATCATCGTTGTTGTTGTTGTTGTTGTTGTTGTTGTTGTTGTTGTGGTTGTTGTTGTTGTTGTTGTTATTGTTGTTGTTGTTGTTGTTGTTGTTGTTGTTGTTGTTGTTGTTGTTGTTGTTGTTGTTGTTGTTGTTGTTGTTGTTGTTGTTGTTGTTGTTGTTGTTGTTGTTGTTGTTGTTGCTGCTGCTGTTGTTGTTGTTGTTGTTGTTGTTCCCCAGTCAGAGCTTGCGTCTGGTAGGGGTCCTGGCGGATTCATATGATTAGGTGAGGTACGGCGCCGATTTCGGCGGCACGCCCCACGCCCGGGTGCCCGGGTGCCCGGGTGCCCGGGTGCCCGGGTGCTCGGTTGCCCTGTAGCCTTACAGCCTTACAGCCCTATAGCCCTATAGCCCTACAGCTCGAATAGCCCTATGGCCCTAATAGCCCTATAGCCCAATAGCCCTATAGCCTTATAGCCCTATAGCCCGATAGCCGTATAGCCCTATAGCACTATAGCCCTAACGCCTATAGCCCTATAGCCCTATAGCCCTATAGCCCTATAGCCCTACAGCCCTATAGCCCTGAAAAGATTCTGATTGGGGGTTCTCTCCGGTCTCATTGTTTCAAGCAGTTTGAGCTGTGTTGTGATGGTTTGCAAGCCCCGCATCTCGAAAATAAAAACCCTTGGCAGACCTTTCCTGCTATCTGCGACGCCGCAGGTCTGGGTGTCGCTGCCCACCCCTGGCGACGCCACATTTGCTGGGATGCCAGTGCCGCTGCTGCTCGGGGCGGCGAGCGGGAGGGGGCAAGGCCCACTGCGCGGTAAACGTCATCGGCAGGGCCCCGTGAGTCGAGGACAGTTCGGCGCGCGGTAGCCCGGCGCTGCTCTCACAGGCGGAGCGGCCCGAAAGAGGCGACCCAGCGCGCGCGTCGGTTGTCCCCGTGTCCTCGCTCGTCTGGTTCCCGCTCTCTACTCCGGAGTGGCTCCCTCTTCCTTTCGCCCTGCGGTCCCTCCCCTCCTTCCTTCCCCCTTCCCCCTGCCTCTCTTTGAGATGCTGTTGCTGCCCCTGCTGCTGCTCGACGTCCTTCTTTCCTCCTGCTTCTCCTTCTGATCATGCTCATCCTCTCCCCCCCTTTCCTTCCCCCCTCCCTCTCCCCCTCCACCTCCTATCCCTCAGAAGGGTGATCCCATGGTGTCTGTGACGGTTGTTTTCGTTCGTTGTTCACACGCATATATACATATATACACAAGACTGCATTGGCGTTGCGCGCCATGCACCTTGGTCCTTTGAGTTCTGCGCGCAAGCGGAATGCGTGCGTGCGTACATGCGCGCATGCATGTATACACGCGCACGCGCATGCACGTTCCGTATAAATGTCTAGATGTATACAATCTACTCACATTGTTGTATGTGTGTATACAGCGTACATATGCACATATAAATTATGTGTGTAAGGGTATGAACATGCATATGCAACTCGTACGGGGCATCCTCGGGCATCTTCGCTGCATGCCACGAGACCCTCAACGACTGGGTCACACTGTGAAATGTCATGGGAGCAAAATCAATGAATGTTGGCATTCAGAAACATCGTGGGGGTGTTTTCGGGGCCTTCGTGGGCCGTTTTGGCGCCTTCATGGGCCGTCCTGGGGCCTTCTTGGGCCGTCTTGGGGAGCTTGGGCCCGCTGGAGCCCCCTTTGGACCCATCTTGGGCACTTCCGGGGACCTCCCATGGCCCTTTTGGGTCTGTGCTGGGAGCCCTTGGGGGGCCTCTTGGTTCCGTTATGGGCTGTCTTGGGGCTCTCGTGGGCGATCGTGGGGCCCGGCTCGGCCGTCTTGAAGCTTTCTAGGGGGCCTTTTGGGGCGTCTTGAGGCGATCTCGGGGGCTTTGAAACCGTCTTGAAAGCTGATGAAATCCGAAAGGCGAATCTGCTAAAATTGTATGTTTTACGAATGGAATGGGACGATTTTTGTGGTTTGAAGGCCCCCTGGAAAGCTTTTTGGGGTGCCTTTGGGGTCCTTATGTTGGCATTCGGAAACATCGTGGGGGTGTTCTCGGGGCCCTCGTGGGACGTTTTGGCGCCCCTCTTGGGCCGTCCTGGGGCCTTCTTGGGCCGTCTTGGGGAGCTTGGGCCCGCTGGAGCCCCCTTTGGACCCATCTTGGGCACTTCCGGGGATCTCCCATGGCCCTTTTGGGTCTGTGCTGGGAGCCCTTGGGGGGCCTCTTGGTTCCATTATGGGCTGTCTTGGGGCTCTCGTGGGCGATCGTGGGGCCCGGCTCGGCCGTTTTGAAGCTTTCTTGGTGGCCTTTTGGGGCGTCTGGAGGCGACCTCAGGGGCTTTGAAACCGTCTTGAAAGCTGATGGAATCCGAAAGGCGAATATGCTAAGATTGTACGTTTGACAAAGGGAATGGGACGATTTTTGTGGTTTGAAGGCCCCTTGGAAAGCTTTTTGGGGTGCCTTGGGGGACTTCTGGGCCGTCCTGACGCAATTGGAGTTCCTCTGGCAAGGCGTTTGTGGAGACCCGGAAAGCCGGGTGACCTTTTCCAAGGACGTCCAAGGGAGCCCGAGAACCCCAGATCCCGGGGGTCCATTTTTTGGGGGGAGGGGAGGGTTTCCCCCCCCCCCCCCCTCCAGGCTTGTAAAAATATAGGAAGAGGATATATATATATATATATATATATATATAGATATATAGATGTATACAGATTCCCAGACAGTGTTTGCTTTTACAGGCTCTTATTCCTACTCTAAGGAAGTGCGCCTCGTATTCGGTCTGGCGGCTGTACTGTCGCCGTCGCCGCCCCGTCGCCGCCCCGTCGCCGCCTCGTCGACGTCGCTGCTCTAAAAACGCGCCTGCGGCGCGCTTTTACATCCGTCAGAACCTACTGGATCACATATAATGCACAACATGTATTGCGCCATATAAATTGCACAACATATATTGCAACACATCCATTGCACAACACGTATGGCAGAACCGCATATATTGCACGGTCACTCCTGGGCATGCCGCGGCAATGATCCACGCAGGTGCAGAGTTCGCATCTCCCAAGGGCGGGAGGATGAAGGGAGGATGGAGGGAGGAGGAAGGGAGGAGGGAGGAGGGAGGAAGAGGAGGAGGGAGGAGGGAGGAGGGATGAGGGGGGAGGGAGGGAGGAGGGAGGAAGGAGGAGGAGGGAGGAAGGAGGAAGAGGGAGGAAGGGGGAAGGAGGAGGGAGGAGGGAGGATGGAGGAAGAGGGAGCCTCCTGCAGCTTCCTGCAGCAGCTCCGTGCCCTCTCCGAAGGCCCCCCCCCCCGCCCCCCGCGGCATCGCTCCCCTCCTCTTTGGCATCGCTCGGGCGTGTGTGCTTCCTCTCGGCGAGGACCACGGAGGAGCATCTAGGAGCATCTGGCGAGCATGAAAAACTGAGCGCACGAGACCGACCACCGCACGGGGAACGGACGCCCGAGCGATGGCGAGGAGTTCCCCTCCCTCGCAGGGGGGAGGGGGCGGCAGAGCCACGCCCCTCATTTGAGCTCTCCTGCACCGCCACGGACCAGCGACCGCGCTCGTGCCGCGGCGCCGCGGCGCGGCCCTCCCCCCTCTGGACGGCCCCGCCGGGCGGGCAGCCCGGACAGCCGCTGTCTCGTGCCCTTTTTCCTTGCCGCTGCCGCTCTCGGAAGCGTGGGCGGGGACCTCTCGGCCACTTCCCCGCCTTGACCCCCCAGGAGGGCCAACATCGACTAGACGTAAGAGTGACCCTTCGCCGGCGTGACCTTTGGTGCGGGCCCATTGGGCCCCCCCCCCCCATCGCCGAACGCGATGCGACAGTGGCGTCTTGCGCGCTTGTGTTTGGTCCCCCTGGCTCGCTCTGGCGTGTAGCCGATACAAGCAGCACCGTGACGTCGACATCGAAGCTCCGGTCGAGGTTCCGAGCGGTCGAGATCGGTCTGTGGGTCTGGGGGCCATTCTTCTTAGCCCTCTGGGAGGTCAGGGCAGGGCCGCCTTCTCTTCCCCGGGTGTGTCGACGGCCCGGGGGCCCGAAGCCGACGCCCAGGGGCCCAGCGATCCCCAGCTCTCGGGCGATCTGTTGGCTTCACCCCGGGCGCTTCTCCTCGACTTCGGCCTCCGGGGCCCGCGTTCGGGGCCCAGAGGCCGACGCCATCCGGAGGGGCAGTTGGGCTCCGCACGCTCGACACCGTCTGGCCAACGTTTCGATGCACGCCTCCCTGAGGGGTCTCGTTGCCCCCGAAGCAGCACCCGCACCACCTGCCAGCGCCTGCTTCTCCCACATCCGAGCCGTGGCTGGGTGGCCAGTGCGTGCCTCCCCGGAGGATGTCTGGGATGGCGAAGCTGGGCGCGAACTAACTGGGGGGCGATACACAGGGCAGGTGCCCTCTTCGGGCCCGAAAGGCCCCCCTTCGGGCCCGAGAGGGCACCCTCTGAGGGCCCCCGAGGGGCCCCTGTTTCGGCCGCCCTCGCTGCCCCCTCCCTTCATCGCCCCCCATTTGACTGATCGCACCCCCTTGACTTGCGCCCACGAAGGCACCAGGCGTCCTGGTACCCTCTTCGGGCCCGAAAGGCCCCCCTCCCTGAGGGGCCCTGAGGGGCTACTTTTTCGGCAGACCTCGCTGCCTCCCTCCATTCATCGCCCCCCCATCCCAGACATCCGATGTCGCGATTTGCTCAATACGCGGTCCCCGGAAGTCTCGACCCCTTCCTCAGGACCGGTTCTTCATCCTGAGCTGTTTTTTGACGGTCCTGGGGCCTGGCGAGGGCCCTTATAGAGGCCGAAAATTGTGCAAAACCTCCGTCTTGATTTTTTCAATGCGTTGGATATCTGGGATTGACTTGCGCCCACGAAGGCACCGGGCGTCCTGAGCTGTCGTGCACAGCCGCGGGATCTCCAGGGCGCCTGCCGGGCGGGCGGGCTCCGGGGGCCATGACCGGGGCCGCCGACGCGCGGGACGCCGGGGCGTGCAGCCCCCCGCGGCGCGACGGCGCGCCGTCGGCGGTTGGGGCGGAGGGGCGGCGGGGTGTGTGGGGCGGAGGAGGAGGAGGAGGAGGAGGAGGAGGAGAAGGAGGAGGAGGAGGAGGAGGAGGAGGAGGAGGAGGAGGAGGAGGAGGAGGAGGAGGAGGAGGAGGAGGAGGAGGAGGAGGAGGAGGAGGAGGAGGCGGAGGAGGAGGAGGAGGAGGAGGAGGAGGAGGAGGTCGGCGGCGCGCCTGGGGGGGAAGTGCGAGGGGGCGGGCCTTCTCAGAAGGCCCGGGCGTCCCCAAGCCTTCTGAGAGGTGCCCACGCCTTGCTCGAGGGCACCGAGAGCTCCTCAGAGGTTGGAGTGCTTCTGAGAGGTCCCTCCGCCCTCTGAGAGGGCCTTCTCCTCCTCAATTCCCCCCTCGCTCGCCACCGAGAAGCGCATGCCATGAGCGACGGAAGAGAACGGGGTCGTCTTCGACGGCGTCAGCGCGTGAGCTGCCCGCGTAGGGTCGCGCGTCAGCGCCCTCGTTCTCAGTGTTGCGTGCCGCGCCGTTGGCCCGCGTAAGCCACGTCCCAGCATCGCTATGCCGTCTCGCGCAAGGCCCGTTACTTGTCGTCGCTCACTTGAATGAAGGCGGTGGACGGGCGAGGGGTCCTGTGTCCGTGCAGACTCGGCGCGCCCCGTCGCCAACTCGGGCTGCACTGGATTTATACCTGTGGGGGTACCTCCCTCGATCCGTGGATCTGGACGCGCCAGAGCCAAGGGATCCCTGATCCATGTTGGCGTGCGCCCGACCTGACATCCTCGCGTTGTGAACACATCTGTTTGATCGTTCCAGGTTTCTGGGGGCCCGCCAGGCCCCGGGGCCGTTGACAACAAGGGCCTTGGTGAGAAGCTAGGCCCGAGGAAGGGGTCCAGCCCTCTGGGGCCTTGACTGTTTTGCCTTCGTGGGCCCTTCCTGGCGAAGCGAGCGTGGAAGCATGGCCCCTGGCCGACCGGGGGCGGTGCTTATCTATCTGCGCTCCTCGCCGACGCATCCCGGCGCTGGGATCTTCTGGTCAGGCCGCCGAGGGCGGCTGGTGGATGCAGTCGGCCATGCGTTTGCGCCCGAAGCGCCGAATCTGGTTGGGCCTCGTCGTGCGCGCCACTTTGACGCTCCTCGTCGCCGGTGCGACTTTGTTGCTCCTGGCCGAGGTTGGCTCTCAGGCCACCAGAAGCGAGCTATCTGCACCGCCGCCAGTTTGTGTGCTGCCTGAGGTGGCCCTGGTCTAAGGTGCCCCCAGCTTTCCCCTGCACTCGGGAGCCCTTGGGGCCCTGGAGGCCTCCTTGGAAAGCCTGGGAACACCTTGGCCCCCAAATCCCCGAGGACTGGACAATGTTCGAGTCTCGGGGCCCAGGAACTCTCGACCCTTTCCCTGGGGCCGGCTTTTCGTCGACGGGCCGGGGGCCCGAAGACGGCCTGAGGAGGCCGAGAACGCTGACAAAAACACAGGGCTCCATATCTTCGAGTCTCTGGAGAGTCATCGACCTCCGATCTCCCATTGATCGTCGACACGGGGCCCGATAGCCCACCCCGCCCAGGAACGTGCGGTTTTGCTATCGGGAGCCTATCGCTGTATCGCCGGTTCCAGCTCCATGGTTGCCTCCCCCCTCTCCCCCTGAGCGCCCCCCACTTTCGTTCCCCCTCACCGCACCGTTTTGGGACCCCCCCCAGCTCCGCCGCTCCCTCGATGTTCGAGGAGGAGCGAGGAGAAGGAGGAGCGTGAAGGATGATCGGGGAGGAGGAGGAGGAGAAAGAGGAGGAGGATAATGATCGGGGAGGATGATCGGGGAGGAGGAGGAGGAGGAGGAGGAGAAGGAGGAGGAGGGATATCGAGAGTGATGATAGATGAGGAAAATCGAGGAGGAGGATCGAGAGGAAGGAGAGGAAGGAGGTGGACACCCTCTTGTTGCTGCCCCTCACGCGCTGTGGGGAGGTGTCCACGGGCGACCAGAGTGCCGCCACCGCCGCCCAGGTGCCTGGGGTCTCGGAACGCGCCGGTGCACCCTTCACCTCCGCCTCCGAGCTGCCTCCTCCCGCTTCCCCTTTTCTGCCCCCCACCTCTTTATCCTCTTTCTCCTTCTCCTACTCCTCTGCCTCCTCCTCCTTCCTTCCCCTTCTTCCTCCTCCTTCTCCTCCTTCTCCTCCTCCTCCTTCTCCTCCTCCTCCGCGTCCTCCGCGAGGGAGAGTCATGACTCGACGGCGATGGAGCAAAAAACCCGGGGAAGTCCCCAACCCTTTTAAGCATGTGGCGAGTATACATCGGAGTGCTCAAAACAAAAAAACATGTCATGATCCGCGTTGCCCTTGACCGCTTCGCCAAAGAACGCCGGGCCAGAGTCATATACTTCACATATGCGGCGTCACTCTTAAGAGTCAGCTCGTTAGCAGGAGAGCGACCACGATGGCGCGTGGAAACATGTGGAGGAGGGACGATATACATAATTCGTGAGAGTAGCTTCATCTTGAGCTAAACGTAGCATGTGCCCGCACACATTACAAGCAACAGGCAACTGAAGAAGGGATGCGGCATGGGCAACGAACTGCGACAGTTTCGCAGATCGCACTCCCCTGGGGGACGGCGAGGTCTAGTGGTCATTCGCGTAAGACGTCGCTCCGCTGGCCCTCCCAGAAGCCCACGAAAGCGGGGACAGTTTCGCAGATCGCAGCCACCCAGGGAGCGGCGAGATCTCGTGGTGATCCGCGTAAGACGTTCCTCCGTTGACCCTCCCAAGCGCCCACGAAATTGGCGACAGGTTCGCAGATCGCAGCCGCCCACGGGGACGGCGAGGTCTCGTGGTGATCCGCGTAAGACGTCACTCCTCTGGCCCTCTTCACAAGCCCACGAAAGTGGCGACAGTTTCGTAAAGCGCAGCCCCCCCAAGGGGCGGCGAGGTCTCGTGGTGATCCGCGTAAAACGTCATTCCGCTGGCGCACTTTCGCAGATCGCAGATCGCAGGTCAATGCCGGAGAAAGTGGAGGTGGGCAGCAAATGCCTCGGCTGATTGTCATAAGTGGGCCTGCAAAGCTTTGTTCTGGGAGCCCGACATACACACAGAAGCCCAACGACCATCACGCAGACAAGCAAGACCAAAAAGACGATGGATCGATGATGTACGCCAGCATGTGCAGACACATTTGGGCCTTACTGATGATACCAATGCCTGGACCGACTTGGCCAAAACACCAACGTGGAGTGAGCTGGAGCATAGTTTTGCACATTCTAAGAATACTTGCTAGCCATGTGTCTCTCCATCTTGTAGTCCATTGCATGTTTGCGGACGCTCCGGCCCCGACCCGCTTAGTCCCCTCGCGTGGACACTCGTGCGGGCACCGTTCACCGTTCACCCCCCCAAGGTGCGGCGAGGTCTCGTGGTGATCCGCGTAAAACGTCACTCTGCTGGCCCTCCCAAGAGCCCACGAGCTACACTTTCGCAGATCATAGCCCCCCAGGAGGCGGCGAGGTCTCGCGGTGATCCGCGTAAGACGTCAATCTGCTGGCCCTCCCAAGAGCCCACGAAAGTGGCGACAGGTTCGCAGATCGCAGCCGCCCACGGGGACGGCGAGGTCTCGTGGTGATCCGCGTAACACGTCACTCCGCTGGCCTTCCGGAAGCCAAAGAGAGTGGCGGCGAGGTCTAGTGGTGATCTGCGTAAAACGTACCTCCGCTGAACCTCCCAGACGCCCACGATAGCGGCGACAGTTTCACAGGGCGCCGCGAAGAGGAGATAGGAGACGGAATGGAGGAGGGAAGAAGACGGGAGAAACAGAAGGAGGAGACGCGACCACAGTGCTTTATTCAAGACGAGAACCCAACCAATGGAGGGTTGGGAAAAGTGAGGACGCTAGCGCAACCCATCCAGGAATCGGGCGGCGAATTCGATCCGAGGCTGCACGGCAAGCGAGGCCGTCTCCTGAGCTTGTGTGGTGCCCAGCCCACAAGAGTGATGATGATGTTCTCTTCCCCGCCTCTGAGGCTCCTGCCCCTCCTCCTTACCTTTGGTCGGTGGGACATGCATGGGCTGATTTTTTCGCCAAGCGGCGTGCTCAGTCAGTGAAAATGCCTGATGGCCACGCTCGTTTCATCAACAGGCCGTTGTGCGAGGTCCAATGGTATGCCTCCTGCCTCGCTTGGGCCGTCCAGGGGGCGATGGGGCTCGAACTGTGTCGGGGGTGGACAGAACCCCCACCCTGACACGTCGATTAGTGAATTGTCCGTTTTCGGTTCTCGGGAGGGCGCCGCGGCCGTCATTTTCCAGGCTTGCGCCCGCAAGGTTTGGGCCCGAGGTCGTTTTCACTAAACCACGTTTTACTAAAGGGGGTTCTGTCCACCCCCGACTGTGGGCCGAGAGAGCAGCTTTGACTGCGCGCGCCCCCGAGCGGCCTCCCACTTCGGCTGCTGCGGCTGCTGCTGCTGCTGCTGCACGGACGCGACCTCGTTGAGCTTCAGCCAGGCCGGCGGTTTTGCAGGAGATGCCGACGGCTTGCGAATATAGCTAACCACCCACCACCCCACTCCAACCCAACCCGAAGGCCTCCATCTGCCCTCCATTTCCAGTGGGCGGGGGGGAGCCGGGGAACATTTGAAAAAACACATGCGAAGCCCGTACCCCCCAAGCCCGAAATTGGGGTCTTCGGGTTTGGTTGGGGTGGTCTGATACGTGGTCAGTAGCCGAGTCTCGGCGCCAGCTCATGGGAGACACATCTCGTCATGGCGTGCCCTCTGCCCTGACCAAGCTTCGGGCGTCCCTCCTCGAGGCTTCCGCCGTGGCCTCCGGCCCCCCGCGCTTGCGTCGGGTCAGCTGGGGTTCGCGTGGCCTGCGGGATGGTAATCGTGATGGTGATGATGATGGTGATGATGATGAGGATGATGATGATGATGCTGATGATGATGATGGTGGTAGTGTTAGTGGTGATGGTGGTGGTAGTGGTGATTATGATGCTGCTGATGATGATAACGATGATGATGATGATGATGATGATGATGATGATGATGATGATGATGATGATGATGATGATGATGATGATGCTGATGCGGATGCTGATGATGATGATGGTGATGATGATGATGATGGTGATTCTATGATGATCATAATGCTGCTGATGATGCTGCTGATGATGATGATGACGGTGGTGGTGGTGGTGGTGGTTGTGGTTGTGTTGGTGATGATGATGATGCTGCTGATGATGATGCTGATGATGCTGATGATG